CTCGAGCTGCGCCTGCCGCCGCTGGAGCTCGATCAGTACGCTGAAAATGAGATCGAATTTCTCATTATCCTGCGCCGCCCGCTCTCATTCTCCAGACGTGGCGAAGATGAGGCAGAGAGGAAAGGAGAGGGGAAGAAGGAGGAGGCGGAACGTATCCAGAACGGCGCCATCATATGGCCACTTGTGGCGTGGATGAGGCCTCGGTGCAGTCGTCGCTGCGGTTGGGAGGACACCCCAGTCCACAGCAGAACTATGCTGGCGGTGGTCATGGCAGGGGACGATGCCAGCGCGCCGCCGCCCCAGGAAATCAAGCAGGTGCGGGCCTCGACCTCCATCGTTCCTCGCCTTGGCGCCGTCTGGGTCGAACAAGGCCCCCCGTTCCTCGCCTTGGTCTGGTGTGGTCGACAGCTTGACTCGTTTGAAGTCGCCCTTGCAACTGTCGCGAGCAAGAGGCCAATGATATACCGCACGGAGAGCAAGCTGACCATGGGGAAGGCCAAGCCTCGTTGAGTTCCTTGGTGCCACCACCCAGACACCGCTGCTTGCCTTCCATCCCACCAGCGTCTGACGGTGCGCGATCACCTACACATTGCATGTCTCTGGGCCGGCGTACTGCTCGCAGTCCCTCCGCTGCAGATGTGTCGTAGGATTGTCGCGGTAGGCTACCGCGGCGATGGTAGCTGTGGGGTGGTTGTCGGACCACGTCGTTCCACACGAAGCCGCCGTGCTCACTCCGCCCTGAGCTGGGCGGCACCGCCCTGCCTGCCGAGGTCGGTCTAGCTGGGCTGTCGTTGGTTTGGCCTCCTGGGCCATCTCGGTGCGCCTTGCTGGCCACCGTTGATGGTCGCGGGTGCACAGGGCTGTTCCAGCCCAGGGAGCACCCAGGGTTTAGCGCGCGGTTCAGCACGTGGATCTGCCCAGCGGGGTGTGGGGGGGGCATCTTTCCCTCTCTCTCTCTGTTTCTCTCGCGATATCGATGTACACATCTATATGTTATGTATATCAGAGTGAGGAAGCTGAACCGAACGGTCATTCACTGTCCCTGGGTGCGTGGCTGAAGTAGAATTCCGCGATGCGGGTTATTGTTATTGGTGTTGTTGTTGCTGTGTTGTTTGTTGTTCGTTGTTTGTTGTTGTCGTCGTCCCACCCGCGACACGCCCCGCGACCCACCCGCGACCCACCCGCGACCCACCCGCGACCCACCCGCGACCCATCCCGCGACCCGCCCGCGACCCGCCCGAGACCCACACGCGACCCACCCCACGACCCACCCCGCGACCCACCCCGCGACCCACCCGCGGCCCACCCGCGACCCACCTGCGACCCACCCCGTGACCCGCCCGTGACCCGCCCGCGACCCACCGCGGGACCCACCCCGCGACCCACCTGCGACCCACACGCGCGCCGCGACCCACCCCGCGAGCTTGCGACCCACCCGCGACCCGCTCGCGAACCACCCCGCGACCCATACGCGACCCACCCGCGACCCATGCGCGACCCACCCGCGACCCACCCGCGACCCGGCCCGCGACCCACCCGCGACCCAGCCAAAAATTTTCGGCGCCTGCGGCGGGCTGTTTTTGAATTCCTTCCAGGTGGAGGTGGAGGGCCCACCCCACGACCCACCCCACGACCCACCCCGCGACTACCCCGCGACCCACCCCGAACCCCCCTGGCGACCCACCCGCGACCCACCGCCCGCCCGTGACCCACCCCGCAACCCACCCCGCGACCTACCCGCGACCCACACGCGACCCACCCGCGACCCACCCGCGACCCACCCGCGACCCACCCGCGACCCACCCCGCGACCCACCCAAAAATTCGGCGCCTGCGGCGGGCTTCTTTTGCATTCGTTCCAGGTGGAGAACCTGCGACCCACCCGCGACCCAAACCGCGTTCAGTGTACAAATCAAAATTGTTCGGCGCCTGCGGCGGGCTGTTTTTGAATTCCTTCCAGGTGGAGGTGGAGAGCCCGCGACCCACCCGCGACCCAAACTACGTTCACTGAACAAGCCAAAACTTCGGCGCCTGCGGCGGGTTTCTTTTGCATCGGCGACCCACCCGCGACCCACCGGCGACCCACCCCGAGACCCACCCGCGACCCACCCAAAGACTCACCCGCGACCCACCCGCGACCCACCCGCGACCCACCCGCGACCCACCCGCGACCCACCCCGCGACCCACCCAAAATGTTCGGCGCCTGCGGCGGGCTTCTTTTGCATTCGCTCCATGTAGAGAACCTGCGACCCACCCGCGACCCAAACCGCGTTCAGTGTACAAGTCAAAATTTTCGGCGCCTGCGGCGCGGAGGAGGAGAAGGAGGAGGAGGAGGAGGGCGCCATCGACAGGGAAGATGAGGGCCACGAGGTCCGCCGGCTCGACGCCCGCGTCGCCCGGGCCCGCCCCCTCACTCTTATCCGCAATTGCGGGGTGCTACGTATGCACTTGTATGCGTATGCATGCATGCATAACGCAACCATGCAACCATACAGCCATACATACGTGCACACATACATACATACATACATACATAGAGGCCTGCGACCGCTCGCGGATCCCAAGACATCGCCCTCCACAATCGCAGTTGCCTGCGGGCGGCACCGCCCGCTAGTTCCGCCCCGAGCTGCCTTTTCAGGACGCTTCGGGAGCGATGGGTGCAGGAAGATAGGGAGGGAACGGACAAATAATACATCGACATAGACTAGAAGCAACTCCACACGACGTCAACCAAACATCTCGAACACAGCTGCGTCGAGCATCCGCAGAACTTGAACAGCTTGCTCCAAAAGGTAAGAACAAGGAAAGGCGACACCAACACCACCAGGGCGAGGAGATGCGAGGAGCAAGGAGGGTCTCCCTGGTGGTGTGGTCCCCCCCACTCGCTCGAGACATCCCCAGCCTCCAGCTCGGGGAGGCATCGTTGACCTCCTCGCTGGAGGTGGCCCCCCCCCTGCTGGTGTCGGTGTCGCACCTCCGCCGTCCGAAAAAAAGAGGCCTACGACCGTGGCGAAAACACGAAACTCTTCCGAGGCGCAAAAGATGGAGTCCGAGAGCACCATCAAAGTGAATGTAATCCTGCGCTTTCGTTCTCAACACGTTCTAAAACTTAGTCCTGCGATCCAGAACGGCTCAATCCGTGAGTTCCTGGCGGCCGCCACGTTTCACGACATTCCATAGGGTGGCTGAAACTGGGCGAGCGTGTTGGGAGGGTATGTTAGCGACTAAATGAATTATCCACCATCGTGCCGCAGACACGCAGTGGAGCGAGTTTAGGTCCTCGGTGAACAATATTGAAGCAGAATGAGGGCGCCGAGCGGTCATTCATTGTCCCTGGGTGCGTGGCTGAAGCGGGCATCCGTGGTGAGGATTATGCTTGTTGCGTTGAATTCTCACTTCAGAAGAATAATTATTGTTGGTGCCCCTCCACCGGTGCATACTGCTTTTTCTCAATCAAAGTGTGCCCCTCGACGCTCGCACGCGGTTTTTTGACAAAGAAAATCTTCCTGCTCAATCTGGGCCCCTGGCCCCCGGGTTACAACGACAACGGCTCCCGCTTGAGACTTCCTTACAATTTAGCCAGGACCCCCGTTCCCGCCCGAGACTTCCGCGCATTTTATTCAGGAATCGCGCTCTCGCATGGGACTTCCTGACAATATATTCAGAAATCGCTCTCCCGGCGCTTTGGAGTCGCGCTCTCGCTGGAGATTTGCTTGCAACTTACTGAAGAATGGCCTTGCGTTGGAATTTCCTGCAATTTGCCAAAGCGCCGCGCTCCCGACACCCAGGCACCCAGGAGTCGCGCCCGTTGTGGCCCCATGTGCATGCCCTTCGTGGCCCCGCTGTCGCCAATTGTGTCCCCCTCACTGTCCTACGTGGCCCAGTTGCTACCCTCAGTGGCCCCATAGTTGCCTTCTGTGGCCCCGCATTATCTGCACTTCGTGGCCCCCGCTCGTTCGCGCTCTTCGTGGCCCCATACGCATTCCCTTCGTGTCCCCGCTGTCGCCCTTCGTGGCCTACTTCGTGCCCTTCGTGGCCCTGCTGTCGTTCTCTCTCGCTCTCGCTTTCGCTCGTCGTCGCCGTCGTCGTCGTCGTCGTCGCCGTCGTCGTCGCCGTCGTCTTCGACGTCGTCGTCGTCGTCGTCGTCGTCGTCGTCGTCGTGGTCGGTCCCCTGTCCGTCCCTCTTGGGGTCGGGTCGACGGTCCGCGGCCGCCCCGCCGATCAGCGCTGCCGCTGGCCAGGCCGACGGTCCGCGGCCGCCCCGCCGCTTGCCGGGGCCCGGCCTGCAGGGAAGAAAGGTATACCCCCCACAAGGGGTTCGATCGAAGACGAAGAGGGCGGGTATCGAGGGTTTGGGAAATTCGCGTTATTGGACACTCGAGCATATAAGGGCGACCAGTCTTAAAATTATTGCTGCTGTTGTTGTTCTTGTTGCTGTTGTGGTCGTTCCCCCTGCGACCCGCACGCGACCCACCCGCGACCCACCCCACGACCCACCCCGCGACTCACCCCGCGACCCACCCCGCGACCCACCCGCGACCCACCCGCGACCCACCCGCGACCCACCCCGTGACCCGCGCGTGACCCGCCCGCGACCCACCTCGGGACCCACCCCGCGACCCACCTGCGACCCACCCGCGCGCCGCGACACACCCCGCGACCCAGCTAGCGACCCACCCGCGACCCGCCCGCGACCCACCCCACGACCCATACGCGACCCACCCGCGACCCATACGCGATCCACCCGCGACCCACCCGTGACCGGGCCCGCGACCCACCCGCGACCCACCCGCGACCCACCCCGCGATCCATCCACATTGCTTGAACAAGAAAATCGGCGTTGCGGCGGGCTCACTGCATAATTCGTACAAAGATAAGCGCCTGCGGCGGGCTTCTTCAGAACCTCGCAGAGACGACGTCTTCGCCGACGTTCGCCGCCCCACCACTCTTATCCGCAACTGGGGGGCGCAACGTATAATCCACGATGACAACATTCCCCAAACAGTGCTTGACTTCTCTTCTAAGAAACTGGGCCCGTCTGCTGGTCTGGCGGCTGTGTTGCCGTCGAC